ATTCATTACTTATTGTGCATGCTTTAATATGTTATGAAATCCATGTATTGTTATGAACAATACTAAACTCCCTAGTCGTATATCGTTGTGGGAATAATGATATAATAAAGGCTAGTATGATGTGTGATTGATGATCATATAGATGATCATAGGTATTGGATAGTTGTGGGAATAATGATATAATAAAGGCTAGTATGATGTGTGATTGATGATCATATAGATGATCATAGGTATTGGATACGATCACAATTATAGGTATTCGTTTGAGAACGAAATATTGGATTGACCCGTATGAGATTGTCACATGGACTAGCGTCATGACTTGAATCTCATATGGCGGTTCCATGATTGGATCCTAAGACCTGAGATATCTACGGAATCCAACATGAGGAGTTGCGTACTTTGAATACGCCAAACGTCCTGCTTAACAGGAGGACTATAAAGGCGTGTATCAGGAACGAAATGAATCATGTGCTGGATTGTAGATAGTCAAGACGGGATTTGTACCTCTAGTAAAAGAGAGAGATATCGTTGGGCCCCTCGTGTGAGCGAGACTGTAGAAACGTGTGGCCGCATTATAGACGAACGTCGTCTATTTCAGACAGTCGAACTCAGTGACGAGAAAGCAGTCGAATCAGATAAGGTGGCTTGTCCATGCCTTATGTTCGATATATGATATCGCGATACAAAAGGATCATCGGCCGGAATCATCTCTGGCGTTCGTAAGATCACGAACAAACTCTATTCGAGATAGGTGGTCATAGTGTCTTGCTAGAGACCGCCTATGACTTGTATATCCGAAATAGAGATTTCGGATTATACTTGTGACACCCGAATCCCGCATCCCGTGAACAGGATATGCCACATGGACGAAAACCAATAAAACATAACAAACCAAAAGTACGGGAATTTAAAAATTGTTTTTTAATACAAACACGCAGCGGAAATAAAGCATCACATGTCTCTTGAAAACAACACATTCCACACATAATTAAACACAACCGTTCCCATGCGGAACCTTGTTCCACAATCCAAAACGCACAAAATAGAATTATTTATCCGTACATAATGATGCCTTCACAAAGTCGTCGCCGTCCAAAGTGCGCTACTCGTGCTCCTCGGGATCTGAAAAATTCAACAACGGAGGGCTAAACAAAATGCTTAGTGAGCGGCTCGGGTTGAGCCCGGAGAGTCCATTCTCATGGAGAACGGTGCCAACTAATCTCTCAATACAAGAATTTCCTTTTTATCCATTTAACTTTTTCTCATTAATCCTTTTAATACATTATCATTATTCCATACATTTTCAATACCTGATAGTACTGACTCAAGTCATCCACCGGCACCATCAGGTACCATTCCTTTCAGTATCATATAGTACTGACTCAATTCGTCTACCGGTACTAGACTCTACCCTTCTTCTCTATAATAGTACTGACTCCACTTCGTCAACCGGTACTATTATAGAGACGACCACTCAGATTCACCAGTACTGACTCCAAGTCGTCAACCGGTACTGTCTTCACTACACATTTCCATAACGGTACTGACTCCACTTTGTCGACCGGTACCGTCACGAAAACGTCCACCCAATTACACAGTACTGACTCCACATCGTCAAACCGGTACTGGTATTACATTTCGGTAATAATACTGACTCCCAGTTCGTCAATCGGTACTATTACCGAAACCATACATCCTCCAGTGCTGACTCCAAGTTCGTCAACCGGCACTGGTTCCACATCCACACATTTCCATACTAGTACTGACTCACGCCGTCAACCGGTACTAAGTACGGGGTGTTGGGTTTCCTGGGATCTCATGAGCGAATCTAATTCCTAAGAGATCAGTTCTAGGGTTTGCGCAGCGGATGTAAAACAAAATTTTTGATAAAACCCTAAAACCTATCATGCATGATCTTGTAGAAACGTTAGAACGCTTACCTCAATCGATCCGGAGCCTGTATCAATTGATGTGTTCGGCCGATCACTATAGGCAGGAAGAATACCTTGCCCTCTACACGTATCCACACGGCGGAAAAGATTCCAACGGTTGGAACTTGTCTGTTAGGACTGAAGAACACGTTCGTCTTTTGCGCAAGGGTTTCAGGGATCTAACTCTTAGGTTTTTCACTCTCAAAACCTCTCAATAGGGTTTGAAAGTCATGCCAAGAGGCTTTTGAAGCGTTCCCTAAAGTTAATCCAACTTAAAACCCTAATTAGAGCGAGTTTAGGAAATCCCGACGTCTGGACCTATCGGTTCAGGCCTGGACCGATCGGTCTGGAGCTTATTTTACGTCTGGACCGATCGGTCTGGAGCAATTTCCGGACCGAGTGACTGTCACACGTTACCTCCGGACTGACCGGTCCATGTGTCTGGGCCGGTCGGTCTGGGTTGGCTGGACCGATCGGTCCAGACCTTCTGGACCGGTCGGTCTGACCTCCGCTCCACCGGGATTTTCTCGTCTCTTCTCGCGCATTTATCCTTTCCTGTGTAGGCTCATCCGATATAGCAGTATAACCCGAAATCTCTTATTTCGGTTACACAATTCATAGGCGGTCTCTAACAAGACACTATGACTACCTATCTCGAATAGAGTTTGTTCGTGATCCTACGAACGCTAGTGATGATTCCGTTTGATGATCCTTTTGTATCACGATATCACATGTCGAATATAAGGCATGGACAAGCCACCTTATCTGATTCGACTGCTTTCTCATTCACTGAGTTCGACTATTAAACGACGTTCGTCTATAGTGCGGCCACACATTTCTACAGTCTCGCTCACACGAGGGGCCCAGCGATATCTCTCTCTTTTACGAGAGGTACAAATCCCGTCTTGACTATCTACAATCCAGCATATGATTCGTTTCGTACCTGATACACGCCTTTATAGTCCTCCTGTTACGCAGGATGTTTGACGTATTCAAAGCACGCAACTCCTCATGTTGGATTTCGTAGATATCTCGGGTCTTAGGATCCAATCATGGAACCGCCATATGAGATTTAAGTCATGACGCTAGTCCATGTGACAATCTCATGCGGGTCATTCCAATATTCCGTTCTCCAACGAATACCTATGACTGTGATC